AGCGTTGAGGAATATCGAAGGAAGAGCTTTCGCTTTGGAAATCTTAAAGAAATCTTTAAAAGATTTAATTGCTGGGCTGAGGGGGTTGTGTGCGTATACTTAAGCAAAGGGGAGAGCAGACTATTAACCATTTAGGATCCTCAGCGCTGCTGATGAGCAGCGGCAGGATACGGGGCGACCGTACACTGAATGCGACAATGCAATTTTTTTTTTTTTTGTACGTTCCGACATTTGTACCAACAAATTGGTTAAGGATGCGCTGGATTTGCTCGGTTGTCTCCATTGTTGGAATTGTCTGGAGGAATTCTGTCACGCTAACGGTGGCTTTTTAAAAGGTGAGGTAATAGTGACGTAAAAATAAAATCGCCAACTTGATGAAATTAAGGGGAAAATTAAGCTGTAGACGAGTTGTCATGACGACAAGGATGTTCTATTGATGAACTGTACTCCTCCCTGTCCAATCAGATAGTGGAGCTGAAGCTGGAGCATGAACAGGAGAAGACGCACCTATTCCAGCAGCACAACGCAGAGAAGGACTGCCTGGTCCGAGACCATGAACGGGAAATCGAGAAACTGGAGAAACAGCTTCGCACTGCCATGGCAGAGCATGAGAGTAAAACTCAAGGATGCAGGAAACGAGACGGACAGGTAACGATCAATAATGTTTGAAAGGCGTACGCTTATTAGAAAATGCTAATAATTGGTGTTTCCTGTTTGCCAGCATTGTTGGTGTTGCACGCTGTGTGAGCATTTGCGAAACTGGCACACAAACGTGATTTCGTTTTTCTTTTTTCTTTTTTTTTTTTTTCCGCTTTCCCCCCTCCTTTCCCACTGCTGAATAGGGCTTTAACTGCAAAAACCACAGGTAGCCAGATTAAAAATCCCATGGTGCGCTATAACTCGGCCTATTTATAATCTTGTCTCATTTTCTTTCATGATGGATTTGTTTAAGAAAAAAAGGTATCTGTTCTTCACCCCCCCCAGCCCTCACACTCACCCCTCCTTTTCTTCTTCCTGGGCAAATCCATGTGAATTGTATCTGCTACATTCGTGTGGGTTTTTTTGTTTTAAATCTCTGCAGGTAACTCACGAATGGCTTTATTTCATTTTGTTGGTGTCTCTTTTGTTGTTTCGATTTTGTATTCTAGATTTGCATTGTGTGTTTGCCTACGTATGTAGGAGATTTGATGAGATGATGTGGCTTTGGGGTTGCTTACCGTCGTGTTTATTTTCCTACACACGCACGCACCCCTCCCATCCTCCATCTCTGTGGTCACTGTTGGAAGCCATTTGGCAGAATAACCCCCAGCTGGGGTAGCATTTGACTCTTCAAACTTCTGGATGAAATGCACACTGTCAGCATGGAAAATGATCTTTATGAGTTTTCAGTTCAAAAACCATCTTCCTGCGTTTTTTCAATATATTGTGCAAGGATGACATGGTATATTTTCCGAAGAGCCTATATTAAAAAGGCCTGCGATGGCAATATTTAAAAAATGAAGGTGATTTTGTAGTTTAAAGAGTATTCAGAAAATGATCTTTACTGATCAGTTTTAGAATTACTTACCATGCGAGGATTATTTTATACCAAAACAGAACATTTCGGTAAGGCATCTCTAAGGACATATGTTTTCCGCGCACCACCGCCTTGCCTATGAGACCTAAGACTCTGACATTGAGGCATTCTCACTTTACTTTCCTATAGACTGGTAGGCTGTGTCTTTTACTGGCAACTGTAATGTAGCTAAATGAAATCGAATATTTAATATTTTTAATTTTTTTCTTTTTTTTTTTTAACCTTTGGACGACTCGAACTCTATCAAAATCTGGCTTAAGTCAGTCTATTGGAAAGCAAATGGCTTGTTGGGGGAGGACGAGGGATATAATGCAGTGCCAGCACTTATTTCTCCATTTCCACCATTATGGTTTTCCAAGGAAAACAAGAGTTACTTTTGTGAAAATGCTTGAGAAGAGGATATTCAGGTGGCTTCTGAAAAATTGAGCCTTGTCCTTTATTCTCCACTTTATTGTAAGAGTGAACAAAGACTTAAATTGTTAAAGGGATCGGGTTTTATCTTTGATTTTTTTTCTTTGGCCCAAGATAGATGCATCGCAACCATGTAGCTTTTCTAAGTTGTATCGTCCTCTCACCTGCATTCCTGGCGTTGTGTTTGCACACAAAGGCAAAGCTGTAGCACTCAGCTTAAAAAAGCAGTTTTAGAATTGCGTGGAATTATTCTGTCTACACGCCAGCCTTCATTACAGTTACGGTATTGCTCTGTGTAACACTGAATACAAAGGTAAAGGGTCTGTCTTAAGCAAATCCAGAGGATCTGGGAGGTGTCTTGTGAGTATCTCTCTCTTTTCCGTTCTGTCATTTCTAGCAAAGATTGGAGCCCCAAGTTTGGTTGTGTTTCTCCTTGCGATGAGCTATATGATGCTACCACAGGTGCCATGTAGCAAGATGGAAATTACCGCGTTATTAGGAAGATCTGAACAGCCTGAATAGCAAAAACTTCGGCCTTTTTACAGGGCTTTTCTTTGTAGTTTGAATATCCCTGTACAGTCACTTGAACATTGCTGCCATGAGAACGAAATGTAAATCAGGGAAGAAAATGCGGTTGCATTTGACTAGAAGAGCTGTTGTTTATTTGAATTCTCGTAAGAATCTCTTGGCTTTCAAAGGCGCATATTTTTTCCATTTTGGAAAATAAATCGTTCTTCATTCCTTCGTCTGGTCTTTGTATTAGAATTCCCTTTTGTCTTTGCAGTGAGCTCAACAGACAATACTGGTGTTTCTTATGGAATTATCGCACATATTTTTATTAAAAAACTTTAGTCTTTGCAGCCGTTTACTGAAACGTGTGTTTCGGACATCTAATATGACTAATGGCCAATGTCCTTTATGAAACATTTGGCAGTCTCTTACCAAAGATATCACAGACATTTAACGAGTTTATATAGGCAGAGCTTTTTAAAAACCTGTTAAATTTGAACCTTGTTTTGACAGCAGTAATTTTTAGGACTGCTTTATATTGCATTGAAGGTGCGATGAAACAGGAGAAGAGGCCATTTTGCTTCGCTAAATGAACAGTAGATATACTGGGTATTTCAAAAAATTTAAATAATAATTAGTGTTAATCACATACAAGTAGCTTGATTTGAAGGACCTATCTGTTCAATGCTTCGTGAATGATGTGAAAGCACCGTTATTAAAAGTATTCACTGTTATTTCGCAGCTCTTTCATGTGGAAAGGATTTAAGAATGTTTAAAATTCGTTTTTCTAACTATATTACTGAAGACGGCTGTGACTGAGTACTGAGGAACAATTTATTATACTACTACTGAAAAGATTAATTTTTTTTTATTGTGTATCCAAGGTGGCTACTTTCATGTAGGTCTTCAGCTACTGTGAAAGATAGTATACGATCAGTTAGATTTTATTCAAATATGAATACATTTATTAATGCGTTAATCTGAACTAAAGTATTAAAATTAATAAGTCGATGCACTGCCAGATTTTAATGAAATATAAAATATTGTTACTGGTTCTTTGAAATGTAAGTTTAATGCATTTTCAGGAAAGGAACTCGATTTAAGTGGATCACCTTTTGCATTTCACTTCAGCTCTTGGCTTTATCCATTTCTAGGAGGCTTGCTTTGATTTTTTTTTTTTTTTCACCTAGGATTTTAATGCTTGGGGTGGAGTAAATTGACATGTAGGTCAACAAAAGTCAAAGCACTACAGTGGCTTTTATACCATGCTGTGTTCCTGTAGTCTTTTAAATCCCATATGTTTTCTGTGAACTGTCATAATATTATTATTCTTTAAAAAGTAGCTAATTATATAGTATTTATTTTTTAAAAAAGATAGTTTGAACCACTAGTTCTGTTTAATTTATATTTTTATATTATCTCAATGTTCTTCAGGAGTATTTTTAAGCTACAGTTTGCTCATTCCATCCCCACCTCCCAAAGTAATTTTAGTTTATAGTTCACGAAACAGGGAACCCCTTGGACGACAGCGATCTTTCCTTTGTTTAATGAAAACCGCTGTGCTACTGAATTGGCAATTTTCTGAAGCAAGACTTGTGGTTATAGAGAATCATACATTCACTTTCCTTCTGCGAAACAGGATGGCAAGGTTTGGAAATTTTAATCACCGATGCCTGATGGGCTGTGGTGCCAGTTGTGCCCTTCTATTTTCCCGTTCTCTCTCAGCATCTGACACGTGCCCTCAGCCAGCTCAAAGATTTTCACGTTCCAGCTGCTGTGCAGAGTTGGATCGTTTTCATGCTTGTTCTTTGGCCGTTGACCTTCGGGCAAGAAGATGATAGAAATGTATCCCTGCAACTTCCAATATAGCACTTTGCACTAAAGCGAGTGGAAGAAAAAAGTTTCCATAAGGAAAGCGAATTCTTTTTCCTGGCTCTGTTATGAGATAATTGGCCAGTCTGCAGTTTTCATCCGTTCGTAATTGGGCCGAGAGTATCTCAAGCGCTGAGGCACGTTTTGCCGATATTTGTCCCTGATGTCAGGGTATTTAATTTTAACATAGAATGTCTATGCTCTTAAAAATGAAGCTACTTTAAGGGAAGATCAGTGATGTTTGGCGGTGTCTTGGTGAACCATTATTGGTTGGGAAATGAAAACCTCGAGCGGTTCTGAAGTTACAGGAACGCGCACAATGATAACGAAGGTTGTTGCAAACAAAAGAGCAGGCTGGAGGTGGTGAAAAGAGTTCAGAAGGTATTTTTCTGTGGCTGAAGTGTCCGTTTCCTTTTTCGTCTCTTGCTTTTTGCACTTCCCATAATCCCCTTGGCCTTTGCTATCCCCATTTGCTTTACTTCTTGCAAATCAGCGACTCCTTCCCTGGTCCCCAATGTATAGGGCATCCTTTCACTTCTTTTCTGGCTTCTCTTCTTTGAAAATTTGCTTCTTTGCTTGTGTAAACAACGATCTTTCTGCAACTCTTGCTTTGCACCTGGTTTCATCTGAATTAATTCCCATTTGTTTGTTCCTGTGGAGTTAATGATCATTACCCGTTTTTTTTTTTTATTTTCATTCCAGCAATGATCATTATTTTTGTTCCAGCAAATCCTTGGTAAATATTTATGGTTCTATATAGATAATTATGGTAGCAATAAAACGAGGGGAAGAGATTTTTCTTGCCTCTATGTGTGTGGTCAGCCTGCAGTGATCCTGGGCTGGTGTGTTTGTCTGATGGAGAGCTTCAGCAACTATTGACAAGAGAAAAGTACCAAAAAAAGAAAAATTATACACTTGTTTAATGGTACTAAATATCCCGACACATGCACAATTTCTGTCTGTGTGCGAATATTGCTGCAGCAGTAGCTTTTCAGCGCTACACTAATACAGATGAATGTCAGGAGCATGTGTTTCACAATAGGAGACTTTCTTAAACTTTGATGTGAAAGAACCTATTGTTGCCGTACAGCTAAATCACCGATCAGCTCTTCTGCTTCATGTAATTGTTCGAATATCTCCAAACACCAGTTTCCACAGGGTTGTTACTCTAGTGTTAGTGGAAGCAGGTTGCTTGATCGTGTCTGGAGGGTACAGATAGATGCAGACTGTGGAACATTCCGATGTCCACCGTGCTACTGAAGTCACTTCTTTATTCAAT